ACCAAAAAAATGTTAGAACTAATAAATGAATTTAATAAAGTGGCAGGATACAAAGGTAACATATAAAAATTAATAGTACTAATAAATTATCTAAAAATGAAATAATGACAATAATCCCAATTATAATACCATCATAATCAATAAAATACAGTACATAAAATAAATTTAACCAAGTAGGTAAAAGATTTATACACTGAAAACTATAAAACACTGATTAAAGAAGTTAAAGAAGACACAAATAAATGAAAAGACAGCCCATGTTCATGGATCAGAAGAATTAGTATTGTTAAAATATCCACACTACCCAAAGCCATCTATATAATTCAATGCAATCCCTATCAAGATTTCCAAGGCATGCTCATTTGGTTGGAGCATCGTCCCATGCACCAAAAGGTCATGGTTTTGATTTCTGGTCAGGGCACATACCTAGGTTGCAGGTTCAATCTGCAGTAGCAGTTAGGGCATGTACAGGAGGAGCTGATCAATGTTTCTCTCTTCCTAAAAATATATATATATATATAGATATAATAAAAATAATTGCATGCATAGCTATTCACTTGTATAAAGTTTTTAAAAGATAAAGCCTTCTGCCCTGGCTGGTTTTGCCCAGTGGTTAGAGCGTGGCCCTCGGACCAATGAGTCGCAGATTCTATTTCGGTCAAGGGGACATACCTCAGTTGTGGTTTGTCTCCAGCCCTGGTTGGGTCATGCGGGAGGCAACCAGTAGATGTGGCCCTATCACATCAATGTTTCTCTGTCTCTCTCTCTCCCTTTCTCCCAGTCTATCTAATAATAAGTAGAAAAATATCTCGGGTGAGGAATAATTAAAAAAAAAAGGCCCTGGCTGGTTTGGCTCAGCGGTTAGAGCATCCACCTGCGGTCCAGAGAGGCCCGGGGTTCGGTTCCCACTAAGGGCACGTACCTTGCACGTCGGTTGCAGTTTTCCCTGGCCCTGGTTGGGTTGTGTGGGTGGCAACCACTGGATGTGTCCCTTTCATGTCGATGTTTCTCTTTCTCTTCCTCTCTCTTCCTCCCACTTTTTCTGAACAAAAAAAGTAAAAATGTCCTCAGGTGAGGATTAAAGAAAAAAAAAAAAAAAAGATAAAGCCTTTCATATGCTAACTGACAAATGCAAAAAGCTAAAATTTTCATTTCTTAAATTGGTTTGAGTAAAGGGTGCTAAATGGCTCATCAATTACTACTGGCTCCTGTTGAGGCTCTGAGGGTTTGGCTTGCTCATCTGCCAAGTGGACACACCAATTACATTGTACTGTTACAATGCTGAAATGACATCATGATGAAATATTTTCAAGTGGTATGCAAATATTAATGATTAAAATAAAAATTAATATATATATTTAGCCAGTAACATTATTTTAATTTTTGGTAAAAGATCTGCGAGACATTCTTTTTCCTTCAAATATTCTGCAAATTCAAAATTATATTTCACTAATTTTAAGACATATTTCTTCACATTTAACATATCTAAAATGGATAGGTATCTTAAAATCACTTTTGGTCATGTAGCAGTCATGACATATTTGTCATTTTGTGTACATGCATCAAAGTGTAAAGAATGGGTATCAGTATCTTGAAAGAAAACCTGGAAGAAAGACAATAATGGACCCTTGTTTAAGAAATGATACGTCAGCCCTGGCCAGTTTGGTTCAGCGGTTAGTTACAGCGTCGGTCCCGCTTAGGGACATACATACTTCGGTTGCAGTTTGTCCCTGGCCCTGGTTGGGTCATGTGGGCGGCAGCCACTCAATGTGTCCCTTTCACGTCGATATTTCTCTCTCTCTCTCTTTCCCGCTCTATCTGAACAAAAAATGGAAAAATGTCCTCATGTGAGGATAAGGAAAAAGAAATGATACATCATTAATGTTCTTGATAACAGAATAAATGTGGAAAAATATGGACATCAAGACTTTAAGTTGAAAGTGAGTTAGAAAAGTTGAAAAGGCTCTGAATGTGACGTTTTACGAGCATCTTAACTTACTTTGCTTACGTTTTTCTTCTTATATATGTACTACGGTGATATATGATTTTTTTAAGAAAAGGGCTTTTCATAAGTATGAAAAATTCCAAGTGATAAAAAGTTATAGTTAAAATGGCATTTTTCTTTCTTCATAGCACATAAAACAATGGTATTATTTTATCAGATTGCATCTCAGCTTCACCTCACCTTCCTGCTCAAAACATTGAATCAATTTCCTGTTTTTAAAAATGTTTTAATTGACTTTTTAGAGAGAGGAAGAGAGAGATAGAAACATTGATGTGAGAGAGAAACATTGATCGAATGCCTCCTGTTCCCACAAACCGGGCATGTGCCCTGACCAGGAATTGAACCAGGACCTCTCAGTCTTTGGGACAAGGTTCAATCCACTGAGCTACACCAGCCAGGCCATTGAATCAATTTTCAACACTATTATTTTCTTGTTCTCTTTTAGTGTCTTCCATTAAAATTTGATTTAAATAACTGAATCAATAAAAGTACAAGAACCAAGCCTTTGATATAAAGTAATGATAAAAAAATATCACTTAATATAAACTTAAGCTGTGCTGTGACTGATATGGGTTTTGATTTCATTGGGTCTCCCAGTGATATTAGTTTAGTCACTGAAATTACAACATAGAGTGTAATTTCTGGCCTATTCTATTTAATATTCATTATAGAGTGCTAACTATATGCCAGGTACTGAATTAGGCACTAGAGATAGCATGGAGAATAAAGTCAGACATGATCCCTGCTTTCTTGGTGTTTAGTATATAGTGAAGAAGACTGGCAAATTATAAATTGTTATAAACACTGTGAAGAAACACCTGAGAAATGAAAATACAAATGAACAATGTGGGGGAGGGGTGATTCAACTTCAGATAATAACAATGGTTAACAGTGAACACGTAAGTAGTGTTACTGTGTCAGACTCTGTACAACATGCTTTATATATTCTTCAATCTTCAAAACCAATATATAAAACAGATATCACTATTTTTCCCATTTTATACACAGGGAAAATGAGGCTTTGAGAATTAAATTAATTTGCTCAAGGTCACGTGGCAAATAAGTAGGGAGCCAGTCTGGGTTCCGAGTCCCTGTTATGATCCACTACAATATTATGGAGAGAGAGCCTTTCTGAGAAATTGTCATTTAAGTTGACACCTGAATGATGAGAAGAAAACTGTGTATGAAGCCCTAAAGTGGGGAAAGGTCCTTCAGTTTTAGGAAATGAAAGAAGGCTATCACTGATAAATATAGTTAATGGGATCAAGCAAGAATGTGGGTGAGATAGGGCTGCAGAAGGCCAGTGCTACCTCATGCAGGATCCCATAGGCCACTTGGAATTTTATTCTAAGTGTAATTGAAACCACAGAAAATTTTGAAATGAACAGTGACATGATTTATATTTTTAAGTATCTTTCTGGCTGATGTTTGAAGAATGAATTTAAAGTAGGTAAGAGAAATAGAGTCCAAGTCATTCATTTGTTCAACACATATTAAAAAGTTATGGAGTAGCTATTTTTCGGGCAAGCACTATTCCAGATATTGGGAATACAGCAAAAACAATACAGACAAGGTCCTGCACTCTGGAATACACTTGAGTGGTGAACACATACACAACTACATCAACAATTTCTTCCACTCTACTGGACTTTTTCCATCAGTGTACAAATTTTAGTATCTCCCATCTTTAAAGAAACATCAAACAAAAATATATCCTTTGACCTTTTATTCCCCTCTAGCTAATGCAGAAAACTGTCTTTAAAGGACAATCTATAGTAACTTCACCTCCAGTTATCTTAACCCACTATAACTAAGGCCTTCTCTTTCACTCTACTAAAACGAATATTAATAAATAGAATACCTTATACTTTATATATCTTTACATTTTCTCTTATTGTAGCTTTTTGTACATGTTTTAGCTGCTTTGCCAGGCTGTAACTCTCTGCACGTGGAAAGCAGACCTTAAATACAGCACCTGACACAGACTTTTATAGTATTAGCTAAAATGACATATGGAGCCAGTAATTCATTTTACACCCCTTTGCGGATTTGTGTTGTGTTCAAAATCCTACTTACCTGCAAAGGATTGAGGGGCTAATGAAAACAAGTATTGACAAAAACGGAATATAACCCATTTTAAAGAGCATGAAAATAATCTGGTAACTGTGCTAATCATTAATTCTGGTCTTTTAGTGACATTCCTTGGCAGCCAAAGGAAGAGACTCTGAATCCCAGTGTACGTAGCTTTTAATCAACCACAAAGTCAGGTATTTACATCCATCTGCAGAGATCAACTTTTCCCTGGACCAAAACCCAGAAGGGGCTTTGTTCACTAGAGCTGTCACATAAAAGTCATCTACAGTCTACACGGAACTGTGGAAACAGAAACATCAATAAAAATAACTGAGCAAAGGCACAGAGTAACTCTGAAGGGCTGCTTAAGTTACTTAACTTGGTTCTTCTGCTTTTGGAGCAAGGAACTGTGATATGGTGCAACCACTAGTTCCTAAACAACACAATTAATTCTCAGTTTTAACCCCGGGGCTTTGGTCCCGGCTTGGCAATCGCAAAACAGCACTTGAGTCACTAGATGGTGAGAACAAAGGGTCAGCATTAGCCCAGCAGCTCGCGGGCAGCCTCGGATTCAGGGGGGCAGGCGCAGCGCACTGGGGACCGCGACTTGGCCCGTCTTCGAAGGCGGGTTTCAGAGTGAGCGGCTACTAGGGGTAGAGTGTCCTAGATGAACGGAGGGGTTCGACCGAAGAGGATGGGGGAAGGAAGGCAACGCGGGACCGCCGCAAAGCACAACTGCAAAGGGCACCATGCAGTCCCTTCCCAGATGCGGAATCCTCTCCCGGTTCCAACTACCATGGAGCGGCAGAGGCAACTGAAGCCAAGGGAATTCTGTCTTCTGTGTGTCACAGGGGCCGACCCCAGCATCCTGGAATAAGACGCTATCATCCCACTCCTCTCTCAAACCCCAGAAATCACCCACCTGCAACCGCAGTATCCGAAGTCTCCACCCCAGTCTCTCTGCCTCCAGAGAACTGATACGATTGGCTTGCACCGCTATCCCGCAAGCTCTTTTCCAAGTGTGAGTGGCGTATCTAGCCGGCTCTTGGCCTTGGTCCCTCCCTCCACTCGCGTCCGAAGCAACGCCCCACGTGACGTCACACGTTGCCGCAGAGCGCAGAGGCGGGGCTTCGTCTCCCTCCCTCGCCGCTTTCTCCTAGCGGAGGAGGCGGTGGCGATGACGGGGGGGTCATGGTGGAGACGTGCCCGTGGACGTAGAGCGACGCTCCGCCTCCTCCGCTCAGACGCCGGGAACAGGGGGTGGGGCCACGCTAGCGTCCGCGCCATCAGGCCCAGGGAGGCGGCGAGGTTCGTTTTCGGTATATGGTTCTCCACTCCAGGCAGTTCTGCTTGGTGCCAGCAATGGAGGGCGTGCGCTGGGCCTTTTCCTGCGGAACTTGGCTGCCGAGCCGGGCCGAATGGTTGCTGGCGGTCCGATCGATCCAGCCTGAGGAGAAGGAGCGCATTGGCCAGTTCGTCTTTGCCCGGGACGCTAAGGCAGCCATGGTACTACAGGTCTTGGGTATTTTGAGCCGAGGAAGCGGATGCGGAGGGGGGTGGGCCTGGCTTTGGGGACCCCCTCCAGCCCCTGCGTCGACGCCTGCATCCTAGCCCACTTGGGGCGGGTCCGGGGCGAGCGTGGTGGGCGCTGCGGAATCCGAGCCCACGGCCTACAACTCCTTTGTAGTCCATCGGAGGCCTCGCTCGCGGCACAAGGGAGCCCCTCCCGCGTTGTAATCGAAATAGAGACCCTGCTAAACCGTAAGATAGGTGTAGGGAAGCAAGTAAGGGTTTTTTTTTTTTTTTTACCATAATGAATACTTTTACATTTTTATTTATATCTTTTGTTTGTTTTAGCTTGGGCCCCTAGCACATGCTTAGTCTGCTTATTACACATATCCTACCACTGTCCAAGGGCACCCTGCACATGATAGGCCCCCCCAAAAGATTGACGGTATGACTTCGTTTATCCTTGCACACCAAAAACTGGAAGAGGCCTAAACCAGCCTCCTTTTACCAATGAAACTGAAACCCACGGGGATACAGTCCCATGCATACCTTTCTGATTGCATAGCTTGGGAAACAGAATTTATATAGAATTATTTATGTATTTTAAGCAACACATGGAAAATTGGATTTTAAAATTACTTCTGTATAGTGCAGTTTGAAACAGTCTCTAATTGCCATCAGTTCAAAAACAGTCCTTGAAATTTATCTCTATATTGAAACCTTTCCACTTGAAATTTGGGATAATTCATAATTTTTTGAAGGCATATTGGTGAATGTTTTTTATCAATTGTAAGAAATTGTGAAATTCAAACAACTGCAGGTTCTAAAAATCAGTGTTAGAATTGAAAGAAAAAAACTTTAAAGATATTTTACAAAATATTATATACTGTTGTCTTATATCTGTATTTTTGTGTGATTGTAGTAATTTCTTAATTATTAGGTGATAGTGGGAGAGAGTGGGTAGAGGTATATGTGAAAAAAATAGGTCAACGAATAGTTAATTGTTTAAACTGAGTGATGGCTATATAGCAGCAATTTTCAAACATTTTCATTTCATGGCATACAAACTAATTACTAAGATTCTGTGACACCAAAAAATATATTTTTTGTTGATCTGACAAAAAATCGGTATGATTTTGATTCCTTCACACTGATGGCTGTTATGTTTGTTGTTGTTTTTTTATTTGACAGCCTAAGGGAAAAGAGATCAGTGCACCTAAGTAGTCAGGTATTGCATGTTTTAAAAATTCTTGCAATACACTGGTTGAAACTCACCGGTATGTATCTCTAGCAACGCTTGCACATAGGCCCAAAGATACAGGTGCAACAGGGTTGCTCACTGGGGAATCTTTTGTAATAGCAAAACTAAAGCCAGCCTAAAATGTCCAATAATGGAGTAAGTCAATCTATTCATAGTTTCTTGATACTATGAAATATGCTACAGTTAAAAGTGCACAGACTAGACAGTTATGTACAGATTTGAAATAATCTCCAACACAAGTTAAAAAGGTTCTCATATATGTGATAGATAGCAAAATCATATGCACATGAACTTATATTTAAGTATTTAGAGAAAACACTGGAAGAATATCTACTTGCTAACATTGGTTATCTGCTATGGAGACTTTTTTTTATATCTTCTTAAGCATTGATTAAATCTTGATGCAGTGTACTTTTTAAAACTTTAAAAAATATTTTAGAAACCACAAAAATATACTTTATTTTGTGTGTTACAGATGGTGTACCTATACATACCAAATGTTTATGTTTTATTTACTTAACAGGCTGGTCGTCTGATGATAAGGAAATTAATTGCAGAGAAATTGAATATCCCATGGAATAATATTCGTTTGCAAAGAACTGCAAAAGGAAAACCAGTTCTTGCAAAAGACTCATTGAATCCTTACCCCAATTTCAACTTTAACATCTCTCATCAAGGGGACTATGCTGTACTTGCTGCTGAACCTGAGCTACAAGTTGGAATTGATGTAATGAAAACTAGTTTTCCAGGTAATGCTGCATTTTTGTAGTATAAGAGTTAAGTACCTCCTTGTCTCTATTCATACTTTTTGGGTAATCTCAGGCCAGGAGATGTATTATAGAAAATTAAGTTTAGAAAAAATTGCTAAATACTCAAAAGTAGTATATCTGAGAGAGCATATATCTGAAAAGAGTGTGTTTCTTTGAATATTAATGGACTTCTACATAAAGGATAGATTCTCCATTACTGGGGAGTCGTATAATGCTTTGCCAGAAGCAAAGTGAAATGTAAATATTTTTTTTTGAATTATACCTCAGCTTGTTAAGTAAGACTAAATTTGAAACTATTTTAGAAGCCTTACATTTGTAAAGAACAGTTTTTTAGTAGCTCTGTTTGTCTTATTTAAGTAGTAGATGTTATTTTGTGGTGGGCGGGGAGGGAGAGAGAGGAAGAGAGAGAGAAACATCGACATGAAAGGGACACATCGAGTGGCTGCCACCCACATGACCCCAACCAGGGCTGAGGACAAACTGCAACCGAGGTACGTGCCCTTAGCGGGAACCAAACCTGGGTCTTTCTGGACCACAGGCTGACGCTCTAACCACTGAGCGAACTGGCCAGGGCTTAAGTAATAGATGTTAAATTGAACTAGACATGTTAATTTTGAGTGGTATTCTATTCAAAAACAGTAATTATATTGTAAGAACTTTGTTTCACTTAAATATTTCTCAAAATGTATCAGTAAGTTGGTTTGCTTAAAAGATAATCTCGATATATTGTATATTGTAGTTCTTAGGAAAACATGTATTTATACTATATCTACAGGTCTTTGTGGCACATTTATATAAGTAAAAAATGAAGAGCAAGCAATTAGTAAAATATTTAAGTTGCTTATGTTTTTTTGCCTTAGAATTTTGTAATTGGCTGTAGGAACTGCTAACATACATTGTGGGGTTGAGTATGCCCAGGGGATTTTGCTAGAACACAGGTTCTCTTAACTATACTTTCTATCATGACTAACATTTAGTGAGCACTTACCATATACCAAGGCATTTACTAAGTGCTTTGAATATATTCTTTGATTTAATTTTCACAACCACTCTGTAATGAATATACTATTATTTTTAATCAAAAATAAGTTAACAGGCAAAAAAGAAAGCTGTTAATAAGAAAAACAACACCTTTCTCATTTCATAGTGCAACTTTCTAATCTCCATGCTACCTCAACCTCAGGATCTTTGCTTATGTTTTCCTGGGCCTGGAAGATTTGTCTTCACTTTATCTCCATCCCAGTTTCTGCATAGAAACTTATTTACTGGTTACCTTTCACCTTAGTCTTACTTTAAGGAAGTCTTTGTGAACCTTTAAGTTAGGTTCTTTTGTTGTAGGCTGTCTCATAAAATATATTTCCTGCATTCTGTTTATAATTATTTATAAGGTTGATTGTCATTCACCTGGTCCTTATAAGCCACATGAGAGCAGGAACTGTGTTAGACCTCTGAGTTTGGTCACTGTCACATCTGTTAACACCGTACCTAGGTCATAATGCCCTATAAATATTTGTCAAACGAATGAATGAATACTCTGCTGCTATAGTAAGACTTCAGAGTATGGCTGTGAATCTCATCTCTCAATTTTGCTGTCAGTGTCTTTACCTTGAATTTTCCCAGCCACTTTTACTCTGACTTGCTCATAAAATCTTTCTATTACAACTCTATTCTTAACTTTGCTCAGAAGGAGACTCTACTACTGGTAATAGGGATTCTTGACCTGAGTCCCTGGATAAGCATCAAGTCATTTTACTTTAACCTACTGAAATCATTTGCTGTATTGTGTGTGCATTTTGTCAGGAGAGAATCTGGTTTTCAGCGGTGTCATAGAGGCTTATTCTGAAAGAACCACTGTACTAGAGGATTCAGAATGAGCACTGCAATGAGCCCATATAATTTCATAATTTTCTGCTGTCTTTATATGAACTTTTCTTAAAAATCAGAAATTATCACAGGCCATTACTCCTTAGAATGCAGTCAGCATAAGTATACAGTAAAGGTTGGCTCATCAGGTTGGTATCTGCCTTGAAATTATGCCTTACTGTAACACAGATTTTAATACCAGTCGTCTTGATGCACAGTGTTGGCTTTGGTCATTACTGAATAAACAATTAATTACTAATTGAAACTGTTCACCAATGATACAAAGATAATTGAGCATTAATTGATTGTTTTCTGCTAATTTTATTAAGACTTTTTTCTTAATTAACTTTTTTTTTTTTTAATCCTCACCTGAGGCTATTTTTCCATTTATCTTCAAATAGAGTTAGAAGGGAGGAAGACAGAGAGAAACATCAATGAGAGAAACATTGACTGGTTGCCTCCCGCACGACCCCAACCAGGGCCAGGTACTGAATTGCAACCAAGGTACGTGCCCTTGACTAAAATCAATGAACCCATAACTCTTTGGTCCACAGGCTGATGCTCCAACTGCTGAGCCAAACCAGCCAGGGCAGGAAGAACTATTTTTAATCATAACTCACTGAAGAGAACAGATTATATTCTAACTAGTTATCTGATATGAATACCATTTTTCATTGTGGTTATGTACCCATTTGTTTCATTTCTCAACATATTTAGTATTTTCAGCAAAACTGAGAATTCCTATCATTTGTACATTCAATACATATTGAACAACTGCTATGTGCTAGACACTTTTAGGTAGTCAGCATACTGTGGCAAAAACAAAACAAGCATGATTCCTGAACTTAACTAATAAGGGAAAACAGATCATCAAATAACTAAGCCATAGTTAAGATGAGAAGGGCAGGAAGGAAAAGATCAGGTGGTCAGGAAAAACCCTGCTGAGGAGGCACTGGCTGCTTTTCATCCTTCCAGCCTCAGGAACTAAGGAAAAGGTGGGGAGTACAGCAGTAGAGGGACCAGTTTTTCTGCAACCTTGAAAGAAAAGGAATGCTACACTCAAAGTAATAAAAGAGTATATACAGAAAAAAGTGAGCAGAGAGAGCAGCTAAAAATGTGAATAGAGAGGGTAAATAAGAATAAGATGATAGGGTCATGCTAAGCGGATTGGATTTTATTAAGAACCAACCTAAGCGTTTTAAGAAAACCGTTGTAGGTGGAACCAGTTAGGAAGCCATTAAAATAGTACAGGAGATGGGACAGGGGAAGGAGACAAATGGGCCCTGCCATGTTCCTAGCTATCATATACCACCACCACTTACTTTATACTTGCTGTACTTAATTTATATAAGTTGTTCTAGAAAATAGTTCTATGATAGTCATTTCAAATCTACTACATTAGTATTAAATCTCAATATTGAGTCATTTTATACTTTCAATTAATATCCAGTAAAGTTTATAATAAAAATGTAAAACCACGGGGAGAAAATATTTTGGTCTTGTCCCAAATTTAAATCATAATTTTATATTGTATCTATTTTATCTTGCCTTATTTTGTAAATATGGAAACAAAACTGAACAATTCATAAAGCGATGCTTTCTTTTATACTTATAATACATTAATAATGATGGATAAAAAATTTTTTAATTGGGTATAGTAAATTACAATAATGACCTACAACACCTTTCCCCCCAGGGTTAGGAATGTACTGCATTGCCAGTTTATTTATACCAGGGTCCCCAATATTTTATAAGTGCTATTCTCTAGCCATTCAATAAATATTTGAGTGCCAACTATGCACAAGTTACTTTTTTTAAGGTTCTTTTTTTCATTAAACAAAAAATAAAGTGGTGGTTCAATAACCTCCTTAAATGTGGGCATTAAGCTAGAAGGAAGAAACCCAAAGCTTCCAAGATCCATTAATATATTTTCTCTTGCCCTGTAATGGGAGAACCGGGAGAAGGAGGAAAATGATCTGCACCTAGTAGAAATGGCTAATGTGACAAGAGGGAAATTCTCCACAAGTTCCTACAAAATAATTCTTCCTTTGAATCTTCTTCCTCACTATCCATTTATCTCCTTAACTTTTCTTTCCTCCATTTCCATCCCACTCAGGTTGTTTTCAGCTTTGCTCCTACTTCAATCTGTTCCACTATCATTTCTTTCTAGGCTGATCTACATTCTTCTAGATCTTAATTTTGCAGGATGTGCTTAGTTAAAGCATTTTTTTTTTAACTTGCAGATTTAGAGCCTGTAAGTAGCTTAAATGAGTCACACTTTATACTCTGAACTTCTTACTAATAAACCAGGTCTTCACTAGCTAGGAGTATTTCATTCCCAGTTACTGAATGGGTCTTTTCCACTGTACAGAGGATTTGAGTGAGGTCATAATGTAAAATGAGTATTTATTGAGTAACTCCTACGTGTGTGACACTGTTAAATGCCTTGTATGCATTATCTTGTTTCATTCACTTAAGCATAGGATGTAAGTACACTTGACCCTTGAACAACTTGGGGCTCATTTGTTGGAAAAAAATCTACATGTAAGTGGACCTTTGCAGTTCAAACCCTCATTGTTCAAGGGCCAGCTGTACTATTATTTAATAGAATAGATTAATGCGACTTAAACAGATGGACGTCAATGCGACTTAAACAGATGGACGTGAATATGTGATGATATTATTAGGTGGCTTTGCCTACTTATATGTCCAATAACTGTGTTGTATTCAGATATTTTGAAGGACAAATGTGCTATCCTGGTATTTAAATTCCAATTTATTAGATAAACTAAATACTTGAGTCCTCACCCACTATGTATTTTCATCATAATGCCATAGGGTGGCACTGTTGTGCTTTGGCTGAATGTTTACAAAATCATCTTTTCTGTTGCTGTCAAATCTTTTATTTTGTATGTGATGGCTTTCCAGTGATTGTGCTAGGTTGCTTTTTGTGTTAATCAGCTTCTTGAATTGGCATGCATATTTAAATTTTTTCCCTTGATTACCCCATCACATTTAGTTAAGAAGCAGAGGGCTTCTTGAAGGTTATGAACTTGAAGAAATCAACAAATAAAATGATTCTATAGATGGCAAGCATATCTTTTCAAATTTTAGGTATTTTATATAGTATTCTGTTAAACTATAGTTCCACTCAAATTATATAATCTTGTCTTTCAAATCCAAGGTAGCTTTTCTTCCCACTGTTTTATTTATACTGTTTGTGCAGCAATCTCTTCAAGAGGAAACAATTCATGATTTATATATTTATGGTGTTTTCATTATTTTAAATCTTCAGATTTACTTTCATTACATTTGCAAACTTGCTTGCTTTACTTTCTTTAGTGTGTAATTTGTCAAGCCAGTTACTAGTGATGCTTGCCTTTTAACAAGGTAGTTTTTTATCCTCACCCAAGGACATTTTTTCCATTTTTTGTTCAGATAGAGCGGGAGGGAGAGAGAGGAAGAGAGAGAAAGAGAAACATCGACGTGAAGGGACACATCGAGTGGCTGCCACCCGCACGACCAACCAGGGCCGGGGACAAACTGCAACCGAGGTACGTGCCCTTAGTGGGAACCGAACCCAGGTCTCTCTGGACCGCAGGCAGACGCTCCAACCGCTGAGCCAAACCGGCCAGGGCTTAACAAGGTAGTTTTTAATAAGGGCCTTAAGGAAAAAGCACCAGACTGTCAAAGGGATTGATTCATAAGCCCTGGTACTCCTAAGATCACAGTTTAATATTTCAATGCTGTTACATGAAATGACTTTGAGCTTTTCTGGGCTACTTTTAGGGAATACTAGTTTTACCAATAACAAACATTAGATATTAATGGAATTTTAAAATGGATTGTATTTCTTGAGGAGAGGAAAGGGCTAAGGAGTAGCTAGATGAATTAAATGGGTGTAATAAACTTGAAAATAAATGAAGATCTTTGTTTTCAACTAAAAGATGATATATTATTGTAGGGTTCTGGGAAATATTTCCTGGCTAAACAAGAGGAGATTTTTGATGGTTTTGAAATGGGGGTTTGGGGGGAATCTTAGTTTGGGGGAGAACTGGCTTTTACTATTTCTTTATTGTAGGACAGTGATTTTTAACCAGTGTGCCGCAAGAATTTTTAAAACATGCAATACCTGGCTATTTAGTCAGGGCACTGACCTCTTTTTCTTTAAATTGTCAAATTATGAAATGACAACAGCCAATAGTTGTCCATTGTGAATGAATCAGAATTATACCTATATTTTATGTGTGTGTCAGATCGGCATAAGAGACATTTTTTGATGTACCGCAGAATTTTAGTAAGTACTCTATGTGTGTCCTGAGTTGAAAATCGCTGCTGTAGGAGAAACTAAACTCCCTGTGAAGATAAGGATCTTGTCTGCTTTCCTCATCATGATAGTCCCAGCATCTAGCTCTTGGGCATTTTTAGCATGACTAATCATAATAGGGGTGCTAACTGTTGAATTCTCATGGGGGAGTAAGTGATTAAATGCCAGTTAAAGCATCAAGTAGGGGGATTTGACATCTTTTTTCCAGACATACCATGTTGGCAGATGTCCTTTTTTAGAGTTGTAGTCAGTTAGTTAAGAATGTCAGATTTTGTTGGGTATTTTAGAAATGGGAGTTGGAGCTGGAGTAGACAAGCTACATTGACAGAATCTGCAGAGGGACTGCCTACAAGAGGTTTTCTGGAAAATAATGGGGTAGTAGAACATTTAGGAAATAACAAATAATAGTTAACATTTATTATGTTCTCATCGAATTTTTTCTTTTTCTTTAGAAAGAGAGGAAGGGAGAGAGAGGTAGAAAAGTCCATGTGAGAGAGAAAACTTTGTTCTCGGCTGCCTCCTGCATGCCCCTACCTGGGGATCGAGCCCACAACCCAGGCATGTGCCCTGATCAGGAATCAAACTTCTCTGTCCATGGGGTGACGCTTGGTCTACTGAGTCACACCAGTTGGGCAATATTCATTTATTTATACAGTAAACATTTGTGTTTACCTACCTTGGGTGCCCTGCTTTCTGATAGGCCAGTTAAGCTGTAAGTGTGTGAGGGTAAAAACCATGACTTATTTGTTTTTAACCATTAGATCAACACATACTTGAGTATTATTTGTACATATTCTATATACCTGTAGAATAAATGGGTGGTGATAGAAAGTTCCTGCCTAATAGTAGAAAGAAACAAACATATAGTTATAATATTTTGGAAAAATATAATATAGAAGTCGTACAGTATATTTTAATTTGTGTCTTTAACCCTTAACTCCGGGAATCAGATCCTTTGAGTTCTGTCCTTTATTTTTAGAATGCTATGTAATATTTTGTTGTCTGTGGAACAGTGGAGTTAGGGATATACTTCAGATTTTTAAAAAATGAGTCTGTTTCATAGTATCACCAGAAGAATAGAGATTAAAATCTGTTTAATTTGGAGAAGTCATATTAGAAAACGTTAAAACAATTATTTTTGAGGAAATAAGTATATTTTCCTGTCATGGTGATAACTTAACAATAAAATAATAATTTTCAGCTTTCTACCCATTTCCAAGAAATTACAATAAATAAATTGTCCCCCTTTTTTTCCTGTTACATAGCAAAGTAAAATTTAAAACCCCAGGATAGAATCGCTCTATTTTAAGAGTTCTTATGGATTTATGGTTTTCTATCATTTAGGAATTTCCTCTTAACTAAAATTCATAACAGGTTTGGCTGCTAAATTTATTAATTTTGGGGTGGCATCTATTGATATAACCATATGATTTTCTCCTTAAATAGTTAATAATTTGTGGAATTTCACTATTCCTATTAACCTATCTTTTTTCTGGGCTTACCCCAGCTTGTCATTCTTTTAATTCCCAACTTTATTTGATTTGCTGGTATTTTGTTTAGGGTTATTGTATGACTGACTATTCAGATGTAAGATTGGCCTATAGTTTAATGTGCTGTCTTTAACAGATTTGGCAATAGAACATCTATTTTTAATTCTCTATTTCTTCAATTGACAGGTCGTGGCTCAATTTCAGAATTCTTTCATATTATGAAAAGAAAGTTTACCAACAAAGAATGGGAAACAATCAAAAGCTTTAAGGATGAATGGACTCAGCTGGATATGTTCTATAGAAATTGGGTATAATTTCTTACTAATTTTGAGAATAAATGCCAGTGATAATTTAATTATCTTTGCAAAATATAGGAGCAAAAATTTTTTGGTTACCTGGCAGTTTATACACTGAAGTAAATAGGTCCTTACTTGGGAACTTCATGATTTTTATGTATACATTATTACATTATAGTGGAATTTTAAGAAAATTTAACATATATTTAATGCTCAGAATGTCTACTTTTGAAGTTAGTTAATTTAATTATTATAAGAAACCTTTGAGGAAAGTACTATTATTGTTGCATGTTACATATGAGAAAGTGGAGGTACAGGGAGCTTAAATGATTTGCCTCCATGCCTACTATAAAAGTGAAAAAATGTCTCTATGCCTACTCTAAGAGTGAAAAAAATAGCTTATAGCCATAATGTATTATAAAGATCCAGATGTTTGGGCCTGTAGTATGTAGAGTATGAAGAAGTTTATCTGTTGAAAGCTCTAAGAGAAGATGTTTTTCTATATCTTAGGCACTGAAAGAAAGCTTCATAAAAGCCATAGGTATTGGACTAGGATTTGAACTGCAACGACTGGAATTTGATATATCCCCTTTAAACCTGGATATAGGCCAGGTTTATAAAGAAACACGTTTGTTTCTTGATGGAAAGGAAGAAAAAGAATGGGCATTTGAGGTAAGAAATTTATTAGGATGGCTGGAAATGTAAAGATTTGCTTATGTTATGCATATGTGTGAGATTAATTAGTTATTGAAACAACATAACTGGAATCCAATCCTGGTGCTCTGAAGTTGAAGTCAAAGATACTATGAGAACCTACAGCATTCAAGCTGATACATGAAAGACTAGTCATAGTGAGTTAAGTGAAATGGGAAAGGAAAAGAGGCCCTGGAATAGAAAGAGCTTTGTGTGTATAAACAGCCAAAGGAAGCCGTTTGGACTGTGCTGTGATGAGGGACTTCCAGGTTAGATTAATAATATCATGCAGGGCATTATGGGTCCTGTTAAAGATTTTGTACTCTTTCTGTATTTGATTTCTGTCACTAGCAGTTCTTAGTTGCTAGTGAGAGAGACCCAACATGAACTCATTTAAGCCAAAAAGATACTCTGTAGGCTACTAGAGTGTTTCATGTAACTGGGCCTCAGAATTAACTACAATTGGGGACTGGAAAACTCAGAACTCTTTTATATTTTACTTTTGCCTTTCTATATATCCTGGTTTTAGTTTTCTCCCACTGTTGTTTCTCATTGTATACATCAGTTTTCTTAACTTGTTGGTATATGTAGCAGGAATGGCTGTCTACCACTCTTACATGTAACAATTTACAGGATAAAACCCCACCAAGATTAGTGAACTCCCCTTCTCTTCCAAGCCCTAAAAGTCCTGGAGAAAGGGACTCTCTGGCCTATCTTGGGTCTGGTGTTTATCTTTGGACTAGTCATTATAGTCAAGGAAATTGTCTATTGTGATTGATTGAGTTTGTATCAGGTGTTTAGAGCCCAGCAAATGGTTGTATACTAATGTGCTTGTTTCTGTATTAATCACCTGAATTGTGTTCAGAGAAAGTCGGTGCCCAGAATAAAGAATTAGTGATGAGCAGATAAAATTGGAGGTGTTCATTAATTTTCTTGAAAGGATTTAACAGTTGTTTGTAGAGAGTGGTAAGATCAGATTCATATTTTAATACCGAGTACTGAGTTCTGTCTCTGTGGAGGTTAAGGAAGTAAGATGTCAAAGATGTTATAAATTCTGTGACGTAATTATATGGGACACTCTATTGAAAAACTAAATAGTAGAGAACAAATCAGTTGTAAGTTTGAGATGCTATAGAAATACCCAAGTTAAGGTGCCTGTGAATAAAATGAAGGACTGAGCTAAAAGGAAAAAAAAAAAAACATTAACAAAGGCATGGTAGTTGAAGCCATGGGATTTAACTTGCAGCTGTGAGGTTACCTAAATTAGAAGAGAGAAAGGCCCTAGGACAGCATCCTAAGAATACTAATAATTAAGAGTGGAGTGTAGGAGACAAAAAGAATGAACAAAATAGTTATAAATAAAATAAGAGAGGAGCATTAGGGGATCCAAGGGGTAGAAAATATGTTGAGAAAGAGAGATGTGTCAAAACTGCTAACATATCAAGTGAGGTAGGGATTTTCTCAGCTTAAGAGGAAATTATATTTAGGACATTCTAAGTACAGTTTTAAAAATTATAACCAATAAAAAAGCTTTAATACTTAAAAGAGTAAACCTCAGCCATTTCAATCAGAGGGAATCCTTTATTCTCAGAGCTGCCCCTTGTAGGCGGGTGGGGAGGGAAGAGGCAGTGACCCGACCAGCTGTGCTTCACCTTCTTGGGTGATAGAGATGTATGAGTTCCTATGTACCAAATAGATGCTGTGGGAAATGGTAGCCACTGGGCTTGCAGTGTCTTGAAAGGACCCCACTCAAAAGGAACTCGAAGAGGCAGTGGACAGCCTACTATTATTAGTTGCTGAGGGCAGGACTTACAAGAAGTGTGAATGCACTGCTAGCTCTAGGCAGTGGTACAGGGAAGGCTAAGGAAATAGAAGTGGGTCTTAGAAAAAACTACAGGTGCCCACCGTGTGAGGTAAGCTAGCATTGGGATTCTTCATGTGACTTAGGGTTCTAAAAACTGCATTAATCAGCATTGGTCATTACTCTGCCCCTTTCCTCCAATCTCCTTCCTTTGTGTCACCTGCCTTAAGGAAACCAGAATGGAAGAGGAAGATTAGAAGAACAAAGCGAAGCTAGGGAGCAAGGTTGTGCATTTGTTCTAGGAGTGAGATGGGATTTTTTTAAGCTGAAAGTGGCTGAAGAGCTGTGGGATTTGTATGAAGGCTTCTCCAGGAGCTGGGACAGGAGATGCATCAGGGCACTGAAGGTGGCTGTGGGAGAATAATGAAATTCTTCACCAAATGTCCCTATTTTGTCAATTCAGTGTACCACTTACAAAAGTAAGGAAACCGTGTATGTTAGATGCATATATTTAAGTGTGGGTTTATTATACTATAAGCAGGCCCAGGAGGAAGAGTGAAATGAACAGAATGAGTCTGGTGGTGCAGACAGCTAGAACTAGCAGTTAAGAAAAGAAGGATGAATACAGAGCAAGGAAAGCATACCTGGAGTTGAGCAACACAGATGGGAGGTTCCTGCCTGGGCATCTCCAAAGCACCCATAGGTTAAAGAGCCGCCAGCCTTTGGGGCATGCATCTGAGAAAGGCATAGGAGTTCAGTATACAGCTGTGGCATGAGGAGTCTTCCCTGCCCTCTCTTCCCCTTCGTACTTGCGCTCACATACACACTCCACCCAAGCTGGAAGAACGAGAGACAGCACAATGAATGGGTGTGGGGGATCTGCAGTTAAGAAGAGAGATTAAATTAATCTCTTTCCCCATTGGAGGCTTCCAAACCTGAATTAGATTTAAACTGGGTTGGTGGGAGGAAGTAGCTCTTTATGAGGTAAGAATAAAACTGAATTTGGATCGAATAGGGCAAGAGCACCTTGATTGAGAGAAAATTTGATACATGAGAATGACTAAAAATGTCATTTATGAGATCTGTTCAAGATTTCATCCGGGGAAAGAAAAATAAATTGTCAAAATTTATTTAAATGGAAATGGTGAGAGATAAGAAGTTGCCTTTTATTCCTGCACTATGCTGTCTAGTTCCATTAGTAAACTGAGAGCGAGATATGAAGAAGGTTCAGCTCTTTTCCACTTTTTACATGTAACTCCAAATGGAAGATCTGTACAGGACAACTTAGCTACATTCTGCTTCCTCCTTTCCCTGCTGTATAGATTCTACTTTCTGAAAGAGCCAGAGTCATGACTATACACCATTAGCCCCATGCCTAGGTTTTTCCTCATGTGTACTGGGTGACTAAACTTAAGTACACAAGCCTTTTGAGAAAGTACTATTGCCTGGGGGATTGGACAAAAGACAAATCCCTAGTAAACCCTACATGTTGAGGACTGCCGTTTATGCATATAACCAGTGAATAACTGAACTACTGTAGACTCATACATTCTTTTCTTCATAGTGTGAACTGATTTAGTTATGCTGAAAAAAAAGTTCTATTTCTGCAGACAGTATTAAAAGAATGCCTGCAGGGGTCAAAGCTATGTATATGTAACAACCTTAACTCCAGGTGTTCATCTGGAAGGTATCTACTGGCACCCAAATAAATGATGCAGAAGGATAAGGATACTATCCTCCAAGAACCGAAGGACAGTGCCATCACAGGATATGTGGTAACATTCTACATGCTGAAAGAGGGGCATTTATTTCCTTGAAGACTCAAAAGAACACTATAAGTGAAAATTATATGAAGAAAAATATTTTTTTAAATATCTGCTTAGTGTCTTTAATAACATTCAAGAAAAGAGCATATCTGAAATGAAAGCTGGGGCCTGAAGGAGAGAATAGGCTTGTCATTTTAGTGGACAGACCGAGAAAACTGGTTGTTGCCACGATTACCTCTGATACTCACCTGAGATACAGACACTGCAGAACTGCTGATCTAACTGGTTTCCAAAGTAATTTTATAGTCAGAACATCTCTGTATGTTATAATGTTTATATTAACATATTCAGCGTAAAGAATGGGAGGACAACCATGTGTCAAAAAGAATAGTTTCACTTATAATAAATATTGCAAGCTTTTTTTTAGCCAAAGGGAAAATACCTGTAACCTGTTAAATCTTTTCTGATACTTAGCTGGTTATATTTTTTCCTCTTTAAACATATTTTCCTAAATTTATTCTAATTTTAGTATTTGTTAATTTGGATCATCTTAATGTATGAAGATAAGAAAAACAGGGTAAAAGATATAAAGTCCCTAAATAATTCAATTTCTGATTGTAGTTTGCCTTAGTAAAGTGGCTTGTCAGTGGAAATTTTGTTTAGATTTTTTATAGTTAATACTATTCTCTGCTAACAGATGCAGTATCTATTACATTTTAAAGCCCCCCCCCCCCCCCCCCCGCCCCACAACCCTGCTGCCCGCATTGTCTCATACATAGGGGAAAAGAGAAAGTTGTATATTCTATGTCTTACCTATAAAATTGCACCATGATTTTTCATAGGCTGTAGTATGTAGTAAACTAAATGTTTATAAACCAGTATTGCAATCTGATTTTTGTTTGTTTTAATCAACAATTTTTTTTCAACTTTTATTAATTTTTGTTACAGATGTTTCTCCTTTTTTCTCCTCAGACACCCTCCTCCCCATTCCACCCCTCACCCCCCTGGTTTTTGTTTTTAATGTTAATTTTAAGCATATACAAAATTAATATCACTAATGAAGGCAGATGGCTCTCTAGATGTACCTCTAGATAGGACATTTTATCTATGTAGTACTCTGGTTTAAAATGTATTATATAAATCATTAAGAAATAGCAGACAATTACCAAATGAGCAGTATTCTATTAGTAAAAGGGGGAGAATGGGGCTTGTATTTTTAAATGTTAATGTCAAAAGAAAGGCTAGCAAGACATAACAACTGAATGCAACCGCTTAACCCTAGACTGCCTCCTGTACTAGAGTGAGGGAAATGCTATAAAAGACATTATTAGATTAGTTCAAAAATTTAGAATACAGCTGGTAGATTTAAGTACTATTTACATGTTATATTAACAAAAATTATTAACTACTATGGTTTTGTGAGAGAATATTCCTGTTAGGAAAGACATACTAAAATATTTCAGACTAAAGGATCAGAATGTATTTGACTTCTCCTTAAATGGTTGGGGGAAGTGAGGGAATCTGGGTGTGTGTGTGGAAAGAGAGAGGTTGAGATTTTAAAGATGTAAACAAAAGTATATCTAAGTTTACATACTTAGTAATCTGAATTTACTTTTTATTTTTTAGGAAAGCAAAATAGATGAGCACCATTTTGTTGCAGTAGCTCTTAGGAAACCCGATGGATCTAGACATCAGGATGTAAGATTTTAAGATTTCTCTGACTTCTTGTAAATAACTTGTAAAAGCATGAATTTACCTCAATATAGAGTTTGTTTTTTATTGGTAGAAATAATCATTTCATTTCATTTACATCAGCTTTAGAGAGGGTTTTTGTTTTATTTTTAGTTTATAGATTTAGAAGTGTTTTTTGTTATTAAATCTTTAGATGATCTGAGATTTTACAGAAAATTTTAAGAAGGATGTTGCCTGCTTCACTTTAAAATACTTAAATGTTGCAAAGAAAACACTTTGGTAATACTGTCCAAGTACTCACAGTTTCAGTTGAAATTCAAGAAAAACACTACCTTAGTCTTCATAAGAGTGGTTTATTTTCCAGTGAATATCTTGAGTATAATGGTACCAAGTTGACAGTGAGTAACGGAATTATCTGGCACAATGAACCCCTTCCTCCTTTTGTAATACTATATAACATTGGTCTCAAGTCTTCTTCCCATTACAATATGTTTTTACTTTTTTCTGCTGTAAATTAGAAGGGGAAAAATTTTTTTTTAAATGACAAAAACCTTAAGGTCAAGGACTCTTAGCCTACATATAGATTTGATTCTGCAGTAGTATTTAGTTAAGGAATACTGATAATGTTATAATAACCAAAACTCTATGCATATTATTTTTAAGAAATCCGTGTGAGAGAATTTGGCATGAAATATATATATATATATATCTCATTATCTCTAGAAAAAGAGCTCAGTCCACAGGCTGTGCCTTAGATAGATTAACAAAGGATTAAAATTCCTCATAGATTGTCTTCCTTCAAGAGGGATGGCATATTAAAATTGACCCCTGTTATCTGAAGATGTTCTGACCAAGGTGCCCTGTCCTTGCTACCTATCATCTTTTACCTCAGCTCTCCACTCTGCGGGTACTATATATTTCCATAGAGCTTTATATGTAACATTTGTGCGTGGGATACTTCCTTTTTATTTCACTGGAGAGAGCCTGTTTAGGCAGTGGAATTGACACAGTGGGAAAAAGACTGGAATACTATGGAAGTTCTGGGTTCTAGGCCTAGATCAGCCATTTAAACCTGTGTTGTGAGCTTGTGCAAAGTGGTTGATTTTCCTAAGCCTCAATTTCTCCATCTATAAAATTGAGATAACAACCATATCAGCATATCTGTGAGACATCATCACATTAAATAGGCACTGACCTTGTTAAAACACTATATAAGATCAAAGTAGTGTCTTCTTTACTAGAAAATAATAGAGTGTTAAAGGAGGTCTACACTGGGTTCAGTTGTGAACAAAGGCTCAATCTCACAGAATAAGATATAATTTAAGTTTAGTGTAGAATGAATAGTTTCTGAAAGAAGTTTTGTATCTCTGGTTATTGGAATTTTATTAATTTTATTCTCTAGAGTATTTCTGAAAAGTTTGCCTTGTGGCCCCCCTCTACCAGAATAACCCACTTCTTGTTATATATTTTGGGATTCCTTTTAACTTAACCTCCTGAATTTGTATTTTTGTGGATGTGTGACTCAATAACTCCACATTTTAAACAAATACCACAGGTTATTGTTATATACAAAAAAAAGTGAAAGGTTATTTTATGTTTTCTTCTGAAGTTATATTGACAATACTAATATAGGGAGTAAAAACAATTAGAAATCCTACTATGTTGTACTTTAATATTATTGAAATGTAATTTGGTCTTACTCTTATTTTTCTAATTTTAAAGATTAACATGCCGTGTAGCAATGAGGTAATCTATTTTTTTCTCTTTTAGGCTTCATCTCAAGATGCTTCTAAGCCCTCCCAGAGGCAGTTTACTATTCTTACCTATAATGATTTAATATCATCTGCTGTTCCTATGACCCCCGAAGATCCTTCATTTTGGGACTGTTTTTGCTTCACAGAAGAAATTCTGATACGAAATGGTACAAAGTCATGATAATGATAAGTAACAAAGGAAAGTGAAAACTGTAATATTCTGTATTCACTAAAAAATAAATGCCTAATACTATCAAATTTTATTTCACAAAACAGTTTGAAAAACAACTTTTCCTATTAAAAAAGTATACTCCCAGTTCAAGATAACTTAGTAGAATACATGTTTACCTTTTCTTTCTTCCCAGAATCTCATGAATGGACTGAAGAAATAGAAAAGGGTGTCAGAATCTTAGGTGATATGGGCGTACCTTGTTTCATTGCACTTTGCTTTATTGTGCCTCACTTGATTGTGCTTCGCAAGTGTTGCATTTTTTACAGATGGGAGGCAAGACCGTGCACCAGCAAAAACACTACGACTTGCTTTATTACGGTCATCTAACTGAACCCCAGATATCTGAGGCATGCCTGTGCATGCTTATTGTAGGAAAAAGCAGAAAATGCAAATATGTAATAAGGAAACATTTAAATTCAGACATAACTATATCAGAGATAACTTTCTAAAACCTTTCTTGGCAAATGAATCCATAGTAATATACTTGTTTTTTTAAAAAAATGGGAACAATACTGTTTTATAATTTTTTTCTCTTAACTGTACATCTACTGTTCATAAATACCACTGTGGCAAACCTTGTACTGGCTCCAAAGTATTCTATTGAATGGCTAATATCAGTTAGGATGCTTTTGGCTAGAAGGAGCAGTGTCCAAATATAATTGACTTAAATAACCAAGGACATTTATTATGTCATCCAACACACAGATGAGAAGGTGTTAATAAAGACACTTGTTTGACCTCAGCCTCAAAACAAGCACAGTTTGTTTTGCTTTAGGCCTGTCTCATGGTCATGACAGCTGCTGCTCTAACTTCCAGCTTCACATCTTCATAAAATTGCATCTAAAAGTCAGGAAAGGCTGTTTTTCCTCTCACATCTCAGTTTTGTCAGTGAGGAGTACATTTCTCACGAGTCCCTAAAATATTTCCCCTCAGTTTCCCTGGACTCAGATCAGAGCACTGAGAAAGCCTGTCATTAGACTGGAAAGCAGCCTCATGGCAAGGAAGAAGCTGAGGCCGGCAGGGTTGGGAGAATGGCACCGAGGGGAAGCCCCTTGCCTGCCTTAAGGGACGTGTGCCACAATTGACTCATGTTTTCCTCTCTGTTGGACGTTTTGATTGATTGCGACTTTATTGTAAGCAGTGGTGCAGTGAATATCCTAGTTAACCACATTTTGAGGTATGTGCTTAATTACATCCTAGAGAAAGTTTCTGGAAGTGAAATGATGGGTTCAAAGGGATTAAATTTTTTTGGAGCTTTGATAAGAATTGCCAAATTGCTCTCCAAAAAGATGGTGCAACTGACACTTCCAGTAGTTTTATATGTGTGACCACCCTTTCACCCCCACACCTGCACACTGCCTGGCCAATTTTAGATACTTTTTAAAAAAATTCAGTCTTTGCCAATATAAGTGAAAAATGGTACCTTATTTTTTAAATTTCTAATTCTTTCATTACAAATAAGGTTGATATGTCAGTGTTGTTGTTGGCTGTTTGTATTCCTTCTCTAATGAACTGCCAGTTCATTGTCTTTGCCGTTTTTCATTTTAGTAAATAGGACTTAATTTAAAGTGGGAACATAATATATAAAATGCCAAGACCATCATATTGATGACAGAATCTATTATGTGGTTGTATTGCATGTCTTGGGAGTTGGTCTTGTTATTGTTTAATATCAAGAAGTGAAATAATTTTATTGTTTCCATTATTAAAATTAAAAGTTGTAGGTAAAGTGTATAAAATTAGATACTTAGTAACAAAAATTTGGAATGTTTTATAATTTTTTATTTTATTAAGCATGCCCAAATATTCCAAGTATAGTAAATAATGTGTTTTAATGGATCAAGTAGCATTGATAATAAAGGAAGCATTGTTATCCCTAGCATGAATGTAATGGTGATATGAAAACCTGTCATCTATCTTGTCATTATAATAATAAAACAATTAACATTGAATTTTTATGAGCCAGATACTGTCTAGATTTTGTTTTTGCTTTTCTGTTCTTTCTGAATCAAATTTACACATACACATAGTTTAAAGAGTCAAATAGATCTATAATGTTTTTTCTAAATGAAAGATAACACTACCTTGACTTCTTTCCATTTCCTGACTCCAGAGCAAGTTCTTTCAACTTTTTTGGCTGAAAAATTTTTTTTTTTTTTTTTTTTTTACTTATAAATATCTGCAAATAACATTCATATATTGCTTTTATTTGATTTTCTTATTTTGGGCAGTTCTTTCTTTCTTTTTTTTATGTTTAGCTCTTTTTCATTGGTAGAATTTACTTTTTTTAAAAAAAAATTTATTTATTTTATTACAGATGTTTCTCCTTTTTCCCTCACTGATTGTCCCTCACCACCCTCCCCACCCTGTCCCCAGCTTTGTTGTCCATGTCCATTGTTCATGCATACATGCATATAAATTCTGTGGATTATCTCTCCCCCATGACCCCCTCTTCTGGGGATTGTCAGTCTGTACCCCACTTCCATGTCTCTGGGACTACCCTATTACTCAGACAGCTTTATTCATTATATTCCACAAATAAGTGAGATCATATGATACTTGTCTTTCTCTGGCTTGTTTCGCTTAGGATGATACTTTCCAGGTCCCTCCATGTTGTCTCAAATTAGGTCTGTCTTTCTTACAGCTGCATAGTACTCCATTGTGTATATATACCACAGCTTTTTTATCCATTCATCTACTGATAGATATTTGGGCTGTTTCCAGATCTTAGCTATTGTAAATAGTGCTGCTACAAACATGGGGGTACATATATTCTTTCTGATTGATGTTTCAGGCTTCTTAGGGTATATTCCTAGAAGTGGGATCCCTGGGTCAAATGGAATTTCAATTTTTAATTTTTTGAGGTAACACCGTAGTGTTTTCCATAGTGGCTGCACCAGTCTGCGTTCCCACCAGCAGTATAGTAGAGTCCACTTTTCTCCACATCCTCGCCAACTCTTGTTTGATGATTTGTTGATGGCGGCCATTCTGACAGGTGTGAGGTGATATCTCATTGTTGTTTTAATTTGCATCTCTCTGATGATTAGTGATGTTGAACATTTATTCATGTGTCTCTTATCCATTTGTATGTCCTGTTTGGAGAAGTGTCTATTTAGTTCCTCTGCCCATTTTTTAATTGGGTTCTTTGCCTTCCTTTTGTTGAGTTGTATGAGCACTCTATATATATTGGAAATTAACCCCTTATCTGATACATCATTGGCAATTATGCTCTCCCATATAGTGAGTTGCCTTTCCATTTTGATGATTGTATCTTACTGTGCAGAAGCCTTTGAGTTTGATATAGTCCCATGTGTTAATTTTCTCCTTTGTTTCTGTTGCCTTAGGTGATGTATCAGTGAAAATTCTGCTGCATATGATGTCCGAAATTTTGTTGCCTACATTTTCTTCTAGGATTTTTATGGATTCATGAATCACATTTAAGTCTTTTATCCATTTTGAGTTTCTTCTTGTGTATGGTGTAAATTGATGGTCTAGTTTCATTTTTTTGCATGTAGCTGTCCAATTTTCCCAACACCATTTATTAAAGAGGCTGTCTTTACTCCACTGTATGCTCTTGCCTCCTTTGTCAAATATTAAGTGAGCATATCGTCTTGGGTCATTTCTGGGTTCTATATTCTGTTCTATTGATCTGTGTGCCTGATCTTGTGCCAGTACCAGGCTGTTTTGATTACAGTGGTTTTGTAGTTCAACCTGAAATCTGGTAATGTGATTCCTCCAACTTTGTTCTTCTTTTTCAAGATTGCTGTTTGGAGTCTTTTTTAGTTTTATATGAACTTTTGAAATACTTGTTCTAGTTCTGTGAAATATGTCGTTGGCATTTTGATGGGGATTGCATTGAATCTATAGATTGCTTTGGATAGTATGGACATTTTAATGATGTTAATTCTTCCAATCCATGAACAAGGTATGTGCTTCCACTTTTCTATATCATCCTCTATTTCTTTTTTCAATGACCTGTAGTTTTGTGCAAATAGGTTCTTTATTTCTTTGATTAAGTATATTCCTAGGTATCTTAATTTTTTTCCTGTGATGGTAAATGGGATTTTCTTAATATCTTTTTCGGTGAGTTCATCATTGGTGTATAAGAATGCCCTCGATTGCCCTGGCCTGTTTTCCTCAGTGGATAGAGCATTGGCCTATAGTCCAGAGAGACCCGGGTTCGGATTTCGCTAAAGGCATGTATCTCAGTTGCAGTTTGTCCCCAGCTCTGGCTGGGTCATGTGTGTGGCAACCACTCAATGTTTCCCTTTCACATCGATGTTTCTCTGTCTCTCTCCCTCCCACTCTATCTAAACAAAAAATGGAAAAATGTCCTCGGGTGAGGATAAGAAAAAAAAAGGAATGCCATCAACTTCTTGACATTAATTTTGTATTCTGCTACTTTGCCAAATTCATTTATTAAGTCTAGTAAATTTTCGATGGAGTCTTTTGGGTTTTCTATGTATAGTGTCGTGTCATCTGCGAATAATGACAGTTTCACTTTCTTTTTTCCAATTTGGATCCCTTTTATTTTTAATTCCTGTGTGATTGTTGTGGCTAAGATTTCCAGTACTATGTTAAATAAGAGTGGCGAAAGTGGGCATCCATGTCTTGTTCTTGTTTTTAAGGGAAATGCTTTTAGTTTTTGTCCATTGAGTATGATGTTGGCTGTAGGTCTTTCATATATGGCCTTTATTATGTCGAGATATGATCCCTCTATTCCCAGATTGCTGAGAGTTTTTATCAGAAATGGGTGCTAGATCTTACTGAATGCTTTTTCAGCTTCTATTGATATGATCATATGATTTTTATCTTTCATTTTGTTTTTGTGGTGTATCACATTTATTGATTTGTGAATATTGTATCAGCCTTGCATTCCTGGGATGAATCCCCCTTGGTCATGGTGAGTAATTTCTTTGATATATTGCTGGATTCGATTTGCTAGTATTTTGTTCAGGATTTTGGCATCTATGTTCTTTAGGGATATTGGCCTGTAGTTTTCTTTTTTGAAGTGTCTTTTTCTGGTTTTGGAATTATTATTATGCTGGCCTCATAAAACAAGTTTGGAAGTCTTCCGTCTTCTTGAATTTTTTGAAATAGTTTGAGGAGAATGGGTATCAGTTCTTCTTTGAATGTTTGGTGAAATTCCCCTGTGAAGCTGCCCATGAAGCCGTCTGGGCTTGGGCTTTTGTTTGCTGGGTGAGTCTTGATTACATCTTCAATTTCTTTTGTTGTTATTGGTCTGTTCCAGTTTTCTATCTCTTCCCGGTTCAGTTTTCGGAGACTGTGTTTCTAGAAATTTGTCCATTTGACTTAGATTGTTGAATTTGTTGCCGTATAATTGTTCATAATAGTTGTTAATGATCCTTTGTGTTTCTGTTGTGTCAGTTATTATTTCTCCTCTTTCTTGTCTGATTTTTTGTATTTTTTGTATTTGGGTTCTCTCTCTTTGTTTCTTGGTGAGTCTAGCTAAGGGTCCATCAATCTTGTTTATCTTTTCAAAGAACCAGTTCTTTGTTTCATTGATTCGTTGAATCGTTTTTTTGGTCTTCATGTCATTTATTTCTCCTCTGATCTTTACTATTTCCTTCCTGTTACTTGCTCTGGGGTTTTCTTTTTGTTTGCTTTCTAGTGCTCTAAATTGTGAGGTTAGATAGTCTATTAGAAATTCTTTTTTTTCTTGAGGTCGGCCTATAGTGCTATGAGTTTCCCTCTCAGAACTGCCTTTGCTGCATCCCATAGATTTTGTGTTGTTTTGTGTTCATTCTTATTGGTTTCCAGGAAGTTTAATTTCTTCTTTGATATCCTTGGTAACCCATTCATTGTTCAATAACATGGTATTTAACCTTCATGTTTTCAAATGTCTTTTCATGTTCTTGTTGCAATTGATTTCTAGTTTTATGTTAGGCAGTTCTTTACTTCCTAATATAACGCTTTGCTATTCTGCTTTCCAACCATTACTTATTTTCTGCCTTGTTCCTTTTTTCCCAGCATAATTATTGTAATTCAGTGTTTACATTCTCAACCATGATTAACAATGTTATTATGATTATGTAAGGCTGTACACAGCTGAATGTATTATTCTTACCCTACGCTGCATTTTTTATTTTAAGTATTTTTCTCTGTTTCTTAGAAATGTGTGTAAATCTTTTTATTTTTAATTTTTTTATTGGGGTGACATTGGTTAATAAAATTATATAGGTTTCAGGTATATAATTCTGTAGTACATCATCTGTATTTTGTGTTGTGTGTTCACCACTCCAAGCCAAGTCTTCCATCACCACTTGTTTCCTCTCTACCCTCTTCTGCCTCCCCCATACCCTCCTCTTTCCATCCAGTAGGTAATCAACATAATATTGTTCGTGTCTGGTGGGGTTTTTTTGGCTTAATCCCTTCACCTTTTTCACTGCATTTTTATTTCCTTTAGTTAATGACTGTTTGCATAGGTTTCCATTTATAAACTTATTGCTGATTTAACTCAAAATTCTGCTAGTTGTGTGTCATACCATATCTGCATCCATCTTGAAGAAATTGTTCTTGATTTCTCCCATCTGGATTTCCTGCCTTCTGTGGCTGGTACACAGCTGTCATCCTAGGATTCCCTTTCACCACCATCCTGGGATTGCCCACCTCTCCCTATGTCGGATTCCCTGATTTCTTACTTCCTGTATCTCATGTGATCCTTAGATTTACTCAATCATTTTTGTGGATCATATCCTTTAGTCGCTTCCTGAGAACAAGGGTACATGGGAGATAAATTTTGAGACTATATGAGGAAGGGGCAGTCCTCTTATGCATAGTGGTGTGGGAGCTCTAGCTGCTGCTTACGTTGGACTCCATTCACCTCCATCTCCAAAGCCCAGTATTGGTGCTGCTAATTGTTGAGTCTTGTTCTGGGCCAGGCCATAGTACTTCATGTTTTCTGAGTCCAAAACCATTCCTTATATTGTAC